GGGGGGGGGGGGCAAGACGCGGGGCGAATGCATCGTTCACCCGGGTTGCAAGTCCCCACAAAAAGAGTTTTTTTTTTTATATACGACTGGGCATCGATCACGCGGAGCCCCCACAGTGGCCGAAATCCTATGGGACAGGTCGGTACTCCGGCTGTAGTGGCGATCCAAAATGTTGCCAACCCTCTACAGGAACCTTAGGCATGTCTCGACACCATGGTGCCATGAAAAAATTGGACTGTATCGTTTTTTGAAGGTTAACAGAGTGTTGAAGGTCAAATTTCGAGGGATCTTGCCCGAGGAATTTAAACAAATTGGAGGTAGACACATGGGGCGTGTTTGGTCGACATAGGTGATAGAGTGCTTCACTGGAACGACCCTGGTAGTGGTGATCCGAAATTGCGCCAACCCCTCAATGCTACCTATGCCTATGTAATCCGGTCTGGCGAAGCCTCGAGCGAGTTTGTCAACTCCTTCGCAGGTGGGGAGCAGCGAGAAGTTTGATGCCGACAGCTGCGGAACGGGCTTGAAGCAGCATCTCTTTCCCTTTTCATCGCACGGTATTTGCCAGGTTTACAGCGAAACCAGGGCAAACCAAATGTCTGCGCGTGTAGAATATGACATGTTTGAGGTATCCTGATGATTTCATAGCCCGCAGCCATCTATGTGGGGAGTGCCAGCGGCGACAAAGGTGTGCACCAGATGGTGTCAAAGGGCAACACGTCATGGGGGCTCAAGCGGGATACCACAGATTTTCGCGGAGCCCCGTCATCATTTTTTTGTTGCTTTTGTGTGACTTGCGACCCGGTTGCGTTAATCCAGCAGTATTTAGACCCATAGTCAAGATCTCTTTGGAAAACACCGGCAACCTCCCTAGTGAAAACACACGTCATTGACGGAATCCGCCGCGAGAAACGCGCATACCTGTCGGTGCTCCCTTCTCCACTTTCCCCGTCCGCTCCCGCTGCTGCTCCGCCAGGACTCGCGACATTTTCTTCCGCCTCGCCACTACCCCCAGCCACCTCCGCCGCCGTGGTCGCCTCCTCCAACGCCTTTCTCAGCTCCCCGACCACAGCCTCCGCCCTCGCCGCCGCCTCGCCGCTGGCTCTAACCTCCTCCTTGAGCCTCGCCGATAACGCCCGCATCTGCATGTCGGACACCAAGATGTCTTCCTCCCTCGCTGACAGGGAAACACCAAGCCGACAGTTTTCTTCCTCGAGCTCCCGTATGCGCATCGCTGGGACACACCGCCGGGGGGGGTGCGACGACATGAGAACGCGTGCGGGAAGAAGAGGAACAAACGGGACGGGGAGGAAAGATCCTTCGGCCACGAGACAATCCCCGGGCAGTCCTTTCTTCTAGTACGTCGAACGTATACAGCTCGGGGTCTCTTGTAGTCGACAACATCTTTACTGAACCAACCGAAGAACACACAAACCAGAAATCGCCAAGCGACACAAGAACACACACACAAGGAAGTAATAGTGTTGGTACACGCGTGCAGTTTTCTTCTGTTGCCACCGTTTCTGTCTTTGATCCGAAGGATAGTTTAGCCGCCCCCATGCTGCCCCCTCACGGGGTCCCAGTTCATGGCAGATAGAAGTGTTTTGTGTTTTCAACCGCACTGAGACTGACGTCTTTTCATTGGTCAGCCGGTTAGCGCGGTCGATGCTAGTAATAGACACGCACACACAACACTCCCAACCTATCTGTCTCACCAAGCCTCTCCATCGCCACGCTCTTCGCCTCCAACTCCCGCGTGCGCTCTCTCAGCAGCTCCCGCAGGCCCTCCACCTGCTTTCGCCCGCCGCCTTCCTCGCCCGCCAGAGCAGCAGCCTCCTCGAGACCGCGCACAAGCGCTCGCAGCCGCAGCGCCTCGGCCGCCCGCGCGGCCCGCTCTTCCTCCCACCCGATCTTGCCGGCCACGAGGCCGTCGACCATCTCGGCGAGGGCGAGAGAGCGGGCCTCTGCCGCCGTGGCTTTCCTCTCGGCCACCTCGACAGCTGCCGCCAGGGCCACAGCAGCCTCGCCATCAACCTCCGGCGTCGCAGCAACGGAGGTGGCGGCGCCGCTCTCTTCGGGCCGCGGCATTGATGACTCGTCCCCGCAAGCGCCGGACTCCGCCGAGCGTTGACCCGAACCGTCATCGCCGCGCGCAGCATCCACGCCTTCTTCGTGCCGGAGTCGGGACTGGGCCAGTTCTCGCTCCAAGCGCGACCGGTCCAGTTGGAGCGCTTCGATCAGGGCCGACTTGTCTGAGAGGTCGTCGGCAAGAGAAGCGGCGCGCGCCGCTAGCGAGTTGCTCTGCCGCTGAAGCATCGACACCTGTGTCCAGACAACCGAGAAAGAAGAGTCATCGAACGAATAGCAGATGCATACTGCAGAAAAGTCCACCAGAAGAGGACGCGAAGAAGTAAACATATGTTGCGGGGACACCAATCACGAGAAGGGCATCCAAAGAGGAATGTTTGATACCAACGCAGCAACAGCTGCTGCTTCGACCATCAACAGGAGGCACCGCAGACCAGACTTCTACCCGGACCCAAAACCAACCGGAACCATGTACTTGTAGCGGACCCTATACCCTAAACGTGCGAACTTCCGCGCAAAAAAACTAGCGCACAAGCCTGCGGTTGACTCACCTGATGGTCCCGGAGGCCAAACAAGTCTTCCAGCTCCTCGCAACGCCGTGCCCGCTCCTTGAGCTTCACGGCCAACGATCGGGCCAATCGCCGCGCTTCTTCTACTTCGCCTTCCCCATTCTCTGGCGCCGGAGACGACTCACCACCGCTGTCTCCCCTCCCGCCACCCCAAAGGCTGGTCAACATAGAGATCCACTGCTTGGACGACGCCTCCTTGGCGTAGACGGTTGGTTCCGAGCGCAGAGAGATGGTATCGAAGGATCGGTCCACAGTCTCGGGTGAACTGTTCAACGGCAGGCGTCCGCCGTTGCCGGCGTAAAAGCCGTGCTCCCCGCGGTCTCGCCTCCCGTCAAGCCCCGTCGATATCCGGCTCACGGTAGAGCTAGGGCCAACAACGACGTCACCGGGCGACGTTGGCGCTATCGCTGCCAAGGAAAACACCCCTGGTGTGTGTCGTGGGAGCTGGTGTTGACTGGGGCCGCACGCAGGGACCGGAGGATTTCGAGCATCAGCAGCCGAAGTCGAGTCAGCCGGCAACAACCGGCGCTCTTCGTCCCCCGCCACCTGACCCGACAGGGGCGGCCCCCCGGTAACCCCGTGGGTAGCTGCAGCGTCACCGCACTGCTGTCCGGCGTTACCGCCGTCTCCGACGTGTTCGGGTGCAGAGCTGTCGCTGGCAGCAGCTGGAGCTAAGACGTCCATTCCGTTGGTATCCTGCCGGCAAGCCTCCGGCACTAGCCCAGCCTCGTAGAGTACCTGCGCGAGTCCTTGCGACGACGAGTCTCGGCCATTTTCCGGGCTACCGGAAACACCGACGGCAGAAGCAGCAAGGTCCGTCATGGCGGTGGCGGCATGAACATCAGGACAGAAATACTCGACGCCAGAGAGGGTATCGGAGGTTGCGGTGTTGTCGTCGTCGCTGCCCTGGCCCAACCCGACCTGCTGTGCGCCTTTCCACCATGCACTACCGTCGTCTTCCTCACCCAAGGCAGTACCCTCGGGGGCGCTCTTTGGTGGTTGAGCCGTCATCATATCCACCTCGTCCGCTGGACTGGCCCACCCCAATCGCTGCTGCCGTTCTTCCACTCTGCTGCCGACGCGATCAGCAGGCTGGTGGTCAACACCCTCGTCATTGGTTCCGCCGACAGGTCTGGGCTGAGCCTCGGGAGACGGAGTCGCTGGTTCGGTTCTTCCCCCAGAGCTGGCGACGGTGGCGTCGTTGCCTTCTACGACGAACATCAACGACGCCTGTTGCTGGATCCGAGTTCTCGGCGAACGGGGTGGGGGTGTTGGAGCTGTTGTTGTGGCTGTTAGGCTGGACTGGAAGGTCAAGCGCCGCTCCGGGCGTGTTGGTCTTTGCCGTAGTAACGTCACAATCTGGTTCGTGCGGGAAACGGCAAGGGATAACGTCGGATTTTCGTACAACGATGGCGGTCGTATCATAGCCACCACCGTCGACGTTCTGTCTCTAAAGCTATAGACTACTGCTGTAGAAGTTGTGAACTCCCGATTGTGAGCTGTCAAAACAACGAATGGAGAAAACTTGGCTGGGGCCACGATGTTGTTTCAAACTTTGATTCCAAACTACTGCGGTGGTTCACGCCTACTGCTGTCGTTCACGACTTCTACTGCTGCGGTTCACATTCACGACAATTGCTGCTGCCCAAGGGCGGTGCACGAGAGCAACCAACGCGCTAATGTCAACGTGTCGAACCACACACATGGAATTTCTGTTTTTGAACCCACCGCATCGTATTCCAAGACTCGTCCATGTACGTTGCCTCATCACCTTTTCGAACGACATGTCACCGACCGGAACATCGCCAACTCCTGTCAGCACATCACCGGGCCGCACCGCACCGGTACGCTGCGCCTGGCCGGCGCTCCCGTCGGGCGAGCTCTTGAACCCAGCAACACGGCATCCGATCGCCCTCCCGCTTGCCTCCCAAACCGGCTCTGCGAAATCAAGCGCAACCAAAGTTAGGTTGGGGTGCATGAAGGAGACTGTCGGGGTGCATCCCCGACGCCGTTCCTTGGTTTGCCGCGTGTTGGCGTCGAGTTCGCTGGGAAGGAAGGCGTTCTGCACGTTGGTACTAATGCAAGGTGCCAGGGCCTCCAAACACATTTCGTTCGCTTGGTGATGGCGTTTACGGAGTAGAAGAGAGATGTGTTGAACACCAAACTCAGACCCAGCTTGGTGTCTGTCTCGCAGGATCTGGATGGAGAGGCAACATCTCAAGCCATCGCAACGTGATGGTCTGAGCGTACGACTCACCGAGCTCTAGCCCCAAAGGCCCCGGATAAAAGATGGGCGAAGTTGTTGTCGCTGGAGCCATCATCAACCTAACGGCTTTTTTGGGATGCTGCTGACAGATGATGATGTGCTTCTCGTTTGAATCGCCCTGTCGATGACGAGCTCGTGTCGAACAAGCTTACGCCTTTCATAACGGCACCCTTGACAGCGATGCCTAGGCTTTCAGCGACCACACCGCTTCAGCCTACCAGTGCCCACAGGTGTGTGGGTCGCTCTGCTGCTCTCTGGTCTCTGGTCGGCGGGTACTCAATTTGCGACTCCCCCTCCCAACCTAATGTTGGGGCTCAATCCTTTCTGTTGGCCCCCGCCGCCGTGTTTCCAAGTTGGTATCTCGCTCTCTGCTACACTCTACACTGAAGGCGCATGGGTGTACTGAACACCATACAAATCCTGGGATATTTCGCGCCGGCGCTGAAATTACTGTTGCATTGACATGATTCAGAGATATTCTCCGTTACGACCGGTGCTCTCGGCAAAATGCAAGTAGTCGTATGCATAGTCTAGATACGAGAAAAATAATGAAAGGTGCGTTGGCTTTTCCTTGCAAACAACCATTGAAAAAATCGGTCGCAAGTACATTTGACACCACCTGCGCTCTGTTGGCAGGGAAAAGAGTGACCCTGCGATATTTGTAGGGGCCCTCAAGCTTCTGTACTTCTGTGCATTCAGGGGAATATTGAGTAGCCTACAGGAGGTGAACTGCTGTCGATGGCACACTTGGACTGTTTCCGGCCTGTCCAATCCGTTGTCGCAAAACACGGAGGATGACGTGAAGTGAACGTGTTCGTTTTTTCCTGAGAAAGGGGCTGCCTGGAACAAACAACAGGCTTGTTTGCGGAACAAACAACAGGCTTGTTTGCTCTTGGCGAGCCACGCTGATGAATCAACACACCTCCGTCGAACATCGTTCACAAGTCTGTCTATGCACGGTACGCCCGAGGATTGCTCATTGGTCACCCTCTGGCCTTCGTGTAAAGTCTTCATTTGAGCCGCCCAAGACACGAGACAACACACGACAGTCTAACAGATCAACGGGTCGTCGTTGGGACCTCTATGCGCGCGCCAAGCTTGTTGGTGCAGCGCGACAAAACTATGTAATCAAACCAATCCAAATCAATTTGACCCTGGGTTCTTTCCTACACGAGCACTTGTCACCACTTCAGTCGGCCGATACCAAACAGGGGCGTTCAAGAAACGAACTCATACAGACTAGTCTAGAGTAACGAACACAGCAAATTCTCCTCCCCTCCGCAAACAATCAAACGTTTTTGTGCTTGTCACCATAGATACTGAATCACCGTCAGCAACAGCAACAACAAAGCACGGCGCGAAAACCACACATGGTGCGATATGTCCTTCAAATGCTGAACAAAAAAAGTACAACCAGGCAACGATGGCAACGTTGAAAAGCGCACTACTGGGCGGTGTCGACACACATCACACACAAGCGCTGTCTCAATCCTCCGGCTTCTTCCCCCATCCTCTCCGAACCTGCGACAACGGGCAAGACAACAAAAACGCCGGCGTTCCACCTAAGCCCGTTGCCCTCGTCTCGCATAGCTTACCAAGGGCTTTGCCGTCAATCTGACCAAACAAGACACGAAACCGTGGGTTTTCTGACACGCGTCCCTCGTGTGAGGAGAAAAAAAAAGAAGTGGGGAAGCTTTGTTCGGTGCCTACACAAACCAACTGCTGCACATCACCGCCTAATGCATACGCATGAAAAAAAAACGGACGGAGCGAGCAATTCACTGGCTGCCCTGGTTTTGTTTGGTGCCTACACAAAAATCAATTGCTGCACATCACACCGCCAAATGCATGCGGACGCGTGAAAAAAAACGAAGCAACTTGGCCTGATGCTAACACTGCATTGCTTGCTAAACCCACCTCAATCGATGATGAAATTTCCATACGGTGTTTACGCGCTTCTATCCATTGCATGCATGTGAGACAACATGACGCACCACGATCGACCGAAGATTATGCTTGGTCAGCTGGTCAGCAGCTTAAAATGAAGAACAGCAGCAACCCGATCCCAACCACCCCAACGGAGGGACGAGGACACTGATGAAACGCAACAACAAGATTGGGGCTTTGCCTAGCTTCGCTTGCTCTCCCTACACACCCGTCCACTGAAAACGTTCGTAACGTTTCGAGCGCGCCCGAATTCTTCGACCCCCTCCCCCCCACACACCAACACACACAAACAAAGTGCACCTGTTTTTTTCTCCTCCAACGGCATGAGCCCGTAATCGATCCGCGGGATTCTGGTCTCGACAGTATCAATGCGTCTATCATGTATCCCCATATCTCTCCATGGCTTGCGCTTGCGATGGCATGGTCCTCCCGCCGCCGCCTGCTGCCTTCATCCACGTAGTGTTCGCCTCCGCCCCCCCCCCCCCCCCCC